ACCCCTGGAGCTGGAGTAACCCCTTCCCTATCCACCTCAAGCCGTCGGAAATGGTTCCTCAGATGGAAATGGAACTAGGACTGGTGCTGCCCCACATCATGGGAGGGGAGAGAGATCCAGACAAGAGGTATAGGAAAATGTGGTTAGGCATCAGTACCTCATTTCAAGCCTAAGGAAGAGCCAAATATAAGTTTCAAGTGTGAAAATCTGTTCAATCTATTAAAAATTATATGATATTTAATCACCCTGAAATGACAGTGATAGTAATAAGCTCAAAGGTGTTGCTTATTTTGTTGATTAAGTATGTAACAGACATTGTTATGGGCATTGGAAAAACTCTAAGCTGTACTGACAAGATCTTTGTAAGGATGGTAGAAACCAAACAGCCTTTTATCCTCAGTTGACTGCCCTTGCTTGGGTTTTTTGAACACTGGACTTGGATAATAACAGCAGAATCAAGATGTTTAGAATACTACCATCCTTCCTGTATTTTAATGATGAAATTAGATTTTCCTAGATAACATCAGCAATTTTTTTGTTGTAAAATGTAAATTTCATTTACAATGAAAATGCTGTAAAAAATGCTGAATAAAAGAACTTGGAAGAATGTGCAGAGCTCTTAGAAATCCATTTGTGTGGACAAACTGAAATGGTCCACACAATTTTTAGTTGTGTATTTTTTTTGTTAACATTAATAAAATTAACTAAGACTGTTTTACAGTCTTTATTTTATAAAAGTAATTTCAAACCGAGAAATTATAACCTTTAATTCTGAAAATATGAAAATATTTTTATTCTTTTTTTCAAAAGCAGATGTTTGGTCAAATTCATAAATAGTCAGAAAACTGACTGCTGCCAGCATAAGTCTGAAGCAAAAATTGCATTCACTTTTCATACTCTGTTGTATAGAACACTCAATACTCAACAATATTAGATGCAAATTTAAGTCCTGTACACCCCAATACTCTGTGAAAGAAATGTCAGTAAAATTGATATGTAAAGTGTCAGTATAAACTGTGCACCAAATGATGAACTATTTTATATGACCAAATTTTCTCCATAAAGAATTATACTGAGAGGGGTAACTTGCCAGCCACTTGGAGACAGAAAAAAAATAGAGAATGACCTTTTAGAGATTGTGTTCCAATTACTGATATTTCAGATAGGCTTGGCTGAAAAATTCGGGCAATTTTTGTGAAATACTTCAGTCCTATATGAGGAAGATAATAATAAAATATTACATCATATAAACAAAAGATATGATGTCTATTTTATGAAGTCTCATTTCAGAGCATTCAATGTTAGTATTGTATTTAGCAACAAAATGCATCTCCTGGATAATGACGTCAAGTGAAGAAAACCAGAATAAATTACAAAAGTTCCCAGCTGTTACCTAAACTTCAAAGCTCACTACTAAACACACTGACTATTTTAGATCACAAAAAACTTTGCAACAACTTCATGCACTCACATACTTAGTAAGACTGAAAGTTAGAAATTTCTACCAAGTTTTTATTAATTTACTTACCAAGAATGAAGAAAAAAAAGCAAAAAAACCACCCTCCACCTTAAAGAGAAACAAGGAAGTCCCCGTGTTTATCCACATATTTGTGCACATATGGCTTTTTTTATGTTTGAACATGTGTGGATAAAAAGTAAAACAAAATGATCAAAGCTTTCTCAAATTAGGATGCATCAGTAAAGTTTTTTCCTGGACCATGCAGAGCTGCAAGGCAGGCTCTGTCCTATTGAAGCCACCTATTCATCATGTTGGAATATGTTTGTACTAAAACCTGGAGTTTAACATAAAGTTGTAGGATTTGTATTATCTAGTTAATAATAATGAAGACAAGCATCAGAAGATGTAAGAAGTATGTTTCCTGAAATAATAGAGGTGAGGTAGTATAGAATAATCTCCTCCTAGCCATGCCCCCTTCCTGCAACTGCAAAAATTCACCCTATCCTGGCCAGAGCCAGGACACAAAGAAGTAAAGCATCTGTTCTGACTTTCAATCTTTGTGTAATACATATGGGGCACAGAAATTTTATAAATTTGTCAAAAGAAATGAAACTAAACATCTCACAAGAGATTTCCTTCCACTTCTCACTTTTTAATTCACCTTTTACCACCACAAAGTCTTAGCATAAAAGTTTATAAAAACACTGAACCACATATTTTGCATTAATGCTTCTGGAACACTGAAAATGAGATTAAAAGAGAGTTACGTGAAATTATTTAATTTGAAACTGAGTTTCAATCTATGTTAGTGCACAAAAATTATTTTTACCAGAGACTTATTCATAATGGACAAAATAGTACAGATAATTCAGTGTGAATGGGCACAGCACTTAAAATGCCATAACAGAGTCATTGGGAAATCACAGTCTTTCTGTTGAAGCAAGTGGAGGTATTCATACCAGCTAAGGTTTATTTGGAAAACACTGTAACTTGATTGTGATCTATGAAAGTAAATTACAGAAGTTAACTGATACACTTACCTACAATGAATGTTTTTAGTTAAATCCTGCTAATTTAATAGGCAGATTCTCCTGACTTCATTGAGTCTGCACAAGGGGAAATAAAGGCATGAATTGGCATTTACAGGTGTGTTACACTTAACAATAGGAAAATTAGGCTAAATTGATTAATGGTGTAAAGCACTTATTTGTGCTCCATTAGTAACATTTTATTATTATTATTATTTTTTTAGATAAATTATTTTGTTGCAGTGGCAAACTTCAGACCAATAATACCACTTCTTTTTCAACAAGTAGAAAAAAAATTAAAACCCAGGGATGTACCTAGCAACTGAAGATATGACTTTTCAGGATGAAAGTTAGTTACTTATAGCATAATTTGATCTGACCTTCTATAACCCATAGCCTTCAAATCTGTTTTACAATATCAGTCTATAAATATGAAAAGTGTAAAATTCCTTAATCACAAAGAAGCTAAAAGCAGGATGACATTATAGAGCAGCAATTGGTTTGCTGGGGGCCAAAGAGAAATGTCACAGTTAAGCTTCTGAATTCTTACTCTTGTCTTCTTGCTAATTATTTTTTAACTTCACTACAGTTCTGTGCTTTACTCTTGCAAGCTTCCTAGTGGTTTAAAGTTCAGTTTAGATTACCACATGCTGGTAGTTGTAATGGCCATGGGCTTCACATCTGTTGTAAGAGGGAAAATAGTCAGAGACAATCATGTAGAAGGTAGTGGAGGTAAAAGCCAGCCTGTAGGATATTTCATAGGCCAAAGAGGCCTTACATTTCAGATGTAAGTTTGTGGAAAACCTTCACTTATTTCTATTGTAGAATTCTCCTGCCTGGTGTCTTGATTAAATTCCCTGTTTGGAAAATCAAAGCAACAAAAAAACAGCTGTGAAAAACTCAGTTTGCGCATTAGGTCACAAAACATTTTTACTCTGTTTAAATGACAGTTAACAACTAATAAATCATAACAAAACAATTCCCTTAAAAATAATTTGTGCAGTGAAGCAGTTAGCTACAAAAACCTCTAGCTAAAGACAGATGGGATGCAGTCCCAGCAGTTTTAATTAATCAATTAGCAAACATAATATAAAATATATTAAAGAGATATCTCAAAATTAAAAGTAATTGCATTTAATTGGAGGCAAAACTCCATATTTATCCTTAGCTCTTAGAGAGATTTTTCCAAGTTAGTACACTAAAGAGACTATCAAAAACAGTGTCAGAAAACGTGAAAAATATAAAGTTACTTGCAGGAACTTTTAGCACAAATGAAGTCTGTTTATAAAGAAGAAATAAACATAGCATATAGAAACTTTCAAAATGAGTACAAGAAGAGATCACCAAGTACCCCTAGCAAATTTTCAAGTACAAAATTCTCTCTGAAAGAAATAGCCCTTAAAGCTATTTAATTCTGTGAATACTGAAGAAATAATTAGTCCTCACAAACAGCATGTCCCTCCTGACTAGAGAAAAAAAATACTGATGTAATGAACAAAAGAGCAGATCAAAATGCTGACACAAACAAAATGGGTTTTTTTTGTCATTTTATTCTAAAATTACTAATTTTGAAAAACTTAAAAAACTAGATATTACATGGACTTTTCACAATCAGACTAGGGGAGTTTCAGTCCCAGTGAAGGTCAATGGGACCTGTGCTTTTCAGACACATAGATTATTTATTGAAAATCTTCCCTTAGTGTATGTCGTCCTCTATGTATTCTTTTCTGCAATTACAGAAGAATGGTAGATCAAGCAGACAAATGGAAAAGAATCAGCAGAAAAAAAAAACTACAACATTTGAAGAACTACAATAATCCAGGTTACAGATTACAGATGTTATATTTATATAATGGCCAGTCTTCGCGAACGAAGATCTGGGGAAAGGTCTTTTTACCTTTCCAGCCTGCGCAATGGATTTTTTAGGTGAGACACAGCCTGCGCTGAACTGAGCCCACCCTTTAATCCTAAGGTTCATCTGCCGGGGCCAAGCAAGCTTGGACAATGGCAGTGAGGTCCTCAGGACGTAGGTTTGTTTAGAGTGTCCTTCTCATAGATGGATGGCCTCACAGGGCTAACGGGTTCCATCTGTCCGGGAGACCGAGGAATCGAACCCGGGTTGCAGCAGTAAGAGTCCTGCATGCTAACCACTAGGCCACCAGGGGGTTATATTTATGTCTCCATACTAATACAGTGTATACACTCCAGCACTACAGCAAAATTCAGTCATGAGTGGTACTTTTAATCATTTCCATTTACACTGCAGACATACCAACTCTACAGTTGTTCAAAATAAGACTTCATGTGATACTTAATTGCTGAATCCCTCTAATATTAAAATGATTATATTGAAATTGTATTCAACATTATCACTTCAGAGAGAGCCAACTTAATCTAGTTCAACTTCCCTCTTAGAAAAGTTCTATATAGAAAAAAAGACAGTCCTTTATTATTTCAATTTAAATCTTCAAGAAACAACAAAATTAAGGTTTATCAGACTAGATGTTTTTAAATTATTGGTTTGGAAATTCAGTGATGAAAATTTTTCCAGTCCTTCTGCAGCACTTTCCATCAAAGAGTATGCTTTTATGCTATCAAAAGAACAGCAATGCAGCTTGTGTATTCAGAGAATTAGAAAAGGTTTTATACAATACATCTTTTAATTTTATGCTCAGCGATGAAGCTGTGCAATTTCCTAAGTGGATAATACATTTTCTCAATATATGTGTTGCTTCTCTTGTTCCAGCTACATCTCTAGGTGGCCTTTAACAACAGACATTTCTTTTTTCTTTTTTTTTCACTGACCTACTGTGTAACCAAAAAAAAATTGGAGTCTTATTGCTATGAAATGCATATATCACTTGCTATTAGAAACAGCTTGTGAAACAGCTTTTAAAGGAGTTTTGGCCATCACTTCCACCATTTAACATGCTGCAACTGTGGACCAGCTTCAAAATTGCACTTGTCTGCATTGTTTGCATGCAAAATTAAACCTTGAGTTTATCAGTAAAATGCAGCATTATAGTTTTATTTTAGATTTTCATGTTTTTAATTTATTGAAATCACCTGAAATAAAATTAGGATAGAGAAATACACAATCATAATAAATATAAAAGAAATATTTTAAGGATTTGAATGGCAGATTCTGCAAATTATCTCAAAGTATGTTGCTATAAGCAGACCTGAACTCACCATTGTCAATTCCTGAAGGTAAACAAATCTGGAGAAGGAAGTATACCTAACCACCTCCTTCATGACCAGAGAGAACAAAAAGTCCATTTTTTAAAAAAAATCCAACATTTATACAATGTGCAAGGTCCCTCTTCTGCTTTCAAAATTTTCAACTTTTTTTGTGTCGGGTTTTTTTTCTCTCTGAGTCTACATATCTATCTCATTGAAATGTCAATCAATCATACCAAATCTTCTAATGAGGCAGGTTTTGACCTCAGGCTCTTTCAGTTTCCTGCCTACACAGCATGTTTCTTTTAGAGGCCTCAACATACAAGTAAAATTTATAGCAGAAGCCTTTTTTTTCTCTTAAAGACTGTGATAGTGAAGGAAATAATTCAGTAAGTAAAAAACACATTGAAGATTCATGCATAACTGAGTGTTGTGCTTCTTTGTGTTTAAAATGCAGTCTAGTAAAAAAATCCCAAAACAACAAATGAAAAAACCCAACAAAACAACAAACAAATGAAGAAACAACCTCCCACATGCACACTTATAATTATATCTGTGCCTCTTTCAAGTGGTGGCATTAAAAAGTCTTATTCTACAGAACGTCATTGTGTATAATAAGTATTCTTAAGGATAATAACTTACAGTCCGTATGATAAGTTTTATGATATTTCCAGCTTCCTTTAACCACAAACTCAGCTACAAGTATAATGCAGAAACTTCAACCTACCACTTAACACTCACAGTCATTGTAATAAATACCAAAGGTACAATGAGAGTAAACAATGTAAGTAATATTTTAAATTCAAATGTTTTTCCAAAGGTTGACTTCAAATATCAAAACTGAAACTCTGTTATGTTACAGACATAAAAATGAAATACATATCCTGCTGAAAACAGCCTAAAATATGTGCATGTAATAAAGGAAAAGAATAGAAAAAAATCACTAGTATCCACATTTCAGAAATTCTTAATTTAGATGTATTGAGATTCTGTAACCAGTTAAGATACACTTAATGTCTTTGGGCCTTTGTCAATGTGAATTTTAACATTGGTAATCCATGTTTCTTGAATTTCAAAGTAATTCAACCACTAAACCTTAACTTTTTTGTATAAAGCCTTAGCTGTGCAGATAGTGGATGCACTTGATGTTGCCTCAATACACTTTGGATTCCACATCATCTCTGAGAATGTGGGAAACATTCGTTGTTCAAGCCATATCTCTGACAACTTTTTTGAAAGAAAACATCACCACTCTAGCCTATCACCTAAATCCAGTACTTGGTATATGTAACATAATAACCTTCTCCAGCAGGGACACTAATCTCCTAAAGTATGACAAGCTCCCTTTTGAAAACAATTTTTTACTCAAACCCTACTCATTCTTATAAATAATCAAACCTGAATTTTATTTTCTTCATGAATTTTCTATATCTTATTTCAGTGTTTCAAGTCCTTGTCCAGACTCAGTATCAGGTCAAGTTCCTAAAGGACCTAATTTATGGTTTTGAAAAATATTGGTATAATGTTATCAACTTACCCTCTTCTTTCAGTACAAAAATATGCTCTTAATATAATTCTCTTTTTTCCACTTAAAGCTTCAGTGTACCTACCCCTCATCATATTGACTACGTGTTTCTGAAGGTTATCTTAAACTCATTAAAACCATTTTTTGACTCATGATTTACATTGATTTCTCCCTTTTGTTCTTTTTATGTATTTACACACACACTTCTGCTCTTGTACATATTTACTGTACATAAATACACAGCACTTGAACTCAAATTTCAAAATGCTGTGTATGATAGTAATACCATCAGAGGAAAAAAAATTAATAAGCAATTCTCTATCATTTTGTGACTTGGGTGATTGCCGGTGCTGCATTGCAATCAGGTAAGTTCATATAGACATATTTTTATCACCTTACAGGTTTTATTTCTTATTGTCTGAATGAGATTATATATATATATACACATATAGTTAGGTGAACAAGCTTTCTTACCTGCAAAATTGTAATTTGCTGTCACATAATAAAGCTTTCTTAAAATATATGTATGTTTTCTTGATCAATTTTTATTTTACAGCTTTGACTTGTGTTTCAACATCTGAAGATACAAAAGGTTAATCTGTGAAAGTTCTATACCTCCATGCTGAAAATGTATTTATGTTTTTCTGTTGATTAAAAAAGCATATGACGAATACAAAAGAAAAAAAATTGTCCATAACCTTCCAACACTCAAAGAAGAAAGATTTAACTGTTTTAGTCAACAGAAAAATGGTCTTTTGGATGATTCAATGAGTGTAAATAAATAGAGGGGATTTATTTTCACTGGAGAAAGAGCGAGGAATGATAGCTTGGCTACCCACAGGCATATATATCCACTTAACTGACATGCACCTGTTTCAGATGCTGGTCTTCTTGTTCTTAGTATATTTGCTTTGTTTTTGCAGGTGAAGGAAGCCATTGGGGAGATGTTTAATTGAACTCTGGTATGGAGGACAGACACAGAGAAGGCAGAATGGCTTCCAGCTCTCACTTACAAATTACACAGAATCCTCAGGGATCTTTAACTGGCAGACATTTGGAGGAAATTAAATGCTAATGTGTGCAGTTGCGCTTCCTACACCCACAGACACCAAACATATAACGACACTAGCTTCTCCTCTGTTTCAGCAAATTCATAGTAAATGCACAAGGTATAAGGTTAAATCTTATGAAGTAAGGTAAGAATTCAATATCAAATCATGCACTTGCAGTATAACATGAGCCTAGATATTTTCAGCCTTAAACTGTTTAAATAAATGACAAACACTTTTTTTAAGTGTGCAAAGATATGGCACTACTGCAGAATTACAGAAGGTCCTTGTTGAATACTACAATGTGAATCATGCCCAGGAGAATACAATTAACGATGTTCTGGGATGTCATTAAAGTTCTTAGGCATAAGTTCTCAATATCTGCATCCAGAGAAGAAAAATGTTTTAAGTATTTCCCACTTAAAAGCTTAAAAAAACAGTTCAGCAACTCAGGAGAAAGAGTGTGTACCAATAATGGCACAAACTGAGTCAGGTCACAGTGGAAAACTCATCTTCTTTTTCATACTCCTCTTCTTTGCAGGTTATGACAAATGTTTGCATTTGTATAAATGGTAAATTATGGTATTATGGATGTTTTGTTACTATTCTAAAATGACAGAAGGCTGGTGTCTTTAAGAGGGAGCAGAGTGTAAACAGTCAATTTAGGAACTAATGGTTTGGAAAAATGGTTTGAGAAAGCATTGGATGACCACATAAGTGGACTTTTAGAAACCAGTCAGCAACCAAATATATAAAGAGTTGACAAAATTTATAAAACATATGCTTTAAAATAGGAGGGAAAAATAGATTTAAAAGGAAAAAGTTGATTCTGTGATTTTGGATATCTGCAAAGAACAAAAAAAGTCCAGCTATTTCCTTAGAAACCTAAAATTGGGTACTAGCCGAACGCCTCAGCTGAGTTGCTCATTTTGTAGTTAGTGAAGAGAAATAGCTAATTTAAAGACAACTTAGATTACTAATGGTTAGGGTTTTAATGCTGAGACAAATTATGTCCCAAGTTCTTACCAACACTAATGATGGACGTTATTCTATTGCTTGTCACAGTATAAGTTAGACACAATCTTTGTGTGTGTGTGGATAATTGATGCTGTAAGAAAAAAGAGTAGCTAAGCAGAGAAGTAACCTAAACATAAACTTTTGACAGTGTGATAAGTTGTGGCTCTTGAGATCCTTTGACACGGGAAGACTGAATACCAGCAACAGTCATTTGTTCGGCATCCAGTGAATCTGAGTGAGCCAGTCAAAGTATTTTCTACATCATACTAGCATGGACAGCATTCAGAGTTGCTCAGGGAGAAAATCTGAGGGGCCCTACAGCCTCGCAACAAGATCAGGACCATCTCATTGACTTCCAGAGATGCCATTGAGGAGAGGAGCACTTGAAGCTAAAGGAGGATGCATGACACATCTGAAACCCCTATGCTGACACTCCAGTCTCTCCTGGACTTCATGTTCTCTCACAGAGAACGGGAAAGTCATGTAATTTTAAAACTGTGTATATCTGTGATGAAAGTGTTTAGGTATTTGTTTATGCAGGTATCAGTTTCCACACTGTCATTTGGTCTGACACCACAAAAAAAAAGATAGCTTGCTTCTTAAATGTCCCTTCCATATGATGGTAGTATAGAATACAGACAAGCTACAAAATTGAGCCTAGTAGAAAAGATGGACTTGGGATTTGTTTGGAACTGCACATATATATGCTACAATAAATTTATTGCAATTTAATAATAATATTAAATAATAAATAAATAATAATCTTGAACAGATTCTCAGACAGCCATCTTTAAGATGGTATACATAGCTATATGGTTTC